CGCTGAGGCCCAGAAACGCGTCACCTCAGCTGGCTCTGCCCTGAGTAACACTGCATTTATATTTATAAATCTGCTTTCAAAGCTCTGGCACCTGAAAGTCATTGATGCTTTCGCTCTTACCAGTGCTGTTAGGCACGTGCCAGGTGTTCCAGCTCACTGCACGCCGAGGGCTTGGCTTAGCTGAGCCCTTCCTATCTCAGGCCTGCTGACCCCAAGCCATGGCTGCGGCCTGCGCTGCCAGAGCATGGCACACTGAGGGAGGAAGCAAGCAGCTACTCAGCCAAGGGGATCAAACACAGATTCTTACCTTGCTCTTGTTCTTTTAAAGGAGATTTATAATGTAGGTCATGCTTCTAAAGAAAAGTTTAAAAATGTGAACCTCACATGAGGTGAGTCAAAACCTTTGAGAAGTAAACAAATGTCATGTGCATGTGAATTTTTTCTAGATTGCCTGAGCTCCTGGATTCATATATATGGCATTAATGAGAGTAATAAGTGCCAGAAAGACAATAATGCAACATGGCAAAGCATGCTAAAACTGATTCAGTCAGGAGAAGAAAAAGGCAAAGTAGTTGAATGGTCTATATGAACTGCACATAAACAGAGTTTCTGAGTCGAGCTGGGCCCAAAAGCCAGACAGACACGGTCTGGCTGCTAATGCTGCAACAGTAGTGCTTCCCTGTCAAGAAGGCAGCTGTGAGTTCAAACAAGCAGTCATAATATGTAGCATCACCTCTTTAATTTTGGCTGTTCTGTTTCTTCAAATGAAAGCTTTTATTAGTAGTAGAACCTCTTCTTTCTTCAGATTGAGTTTCAGGCTGCTGGTACGTTGCAGTCAAAGATAGAACTGAAACTAACACCAAAATTCAATAGCTATAACCAAAGAAGCACTGCAAAGGCTTCAGCTACCACACAGTGCCAGCATACAGCCCAGATTTCTACAGCAGGAGCCAAATGCAACACTTTTGTATTTTCAGTGCTGTTGTCTAGGTTAGCTAGATCAATATGCAAGCATTGCTATCCCACCTGTAACTGCAATGTAGATACAGGGAGTTAACATTAGAGCTCTGAACTCATATAGACAACAAAATTGGCAATTTGACTTCAGAAATACTTGAGACACTAAATTTCTCTTATTAGGCTAGGTTTTATTAGAAGCTATGGATCACAACTGGAAGGACATGGCAATGCAGTAAGGTGCCATGAAAAAGCTGAGAAGCACCCAAGGAATTACATCCATCTCAGTGCAAACTGTGCCAAACTTCCAAAACATCCTGTAGTCTGCTATTTCAAAATGAAGCTGGTCATTCACTATTCCACATTTCAATTGCCTAACTTAATGCTCTTATGAACTCAGATTATACTAAAATTTAAGGGGAGGAAGTTAAGCCATGAGAAACTCCTACTAGTCCACCAAGACTAATAATTTTCCCTTTATACTTTTTTCAAAAGCAATATAATACAGTATAGCAACATGAAAATCTATTTTGCAGTATAGGTATATATTAAAGGTCAACTATATTTCACAGGCTTGCAGTCCTACTGAGAAACTGTTTTGAAAAAAAAAAAATCCTCTGGTGATCCAAGCATCCAGGAAAGAATCAAGATTAACAAAATGCTAAAATTTCAAAATGCCTCAGAATTTCTGGTATTTTTATCCTCTACCAATGCTTTTATAAGCAATAATCAAGAAGCCATGTTGCAGATAGAGAGGGATGAAGTTATGAAACAGCACAGCCACCTGCCTATCAATTAACCCTGAGCACCATTGGGAATGTTACTGCCTCCATATCACCTTTCATATGTTCACATCTGGTATAACACGGATTTGTTTTAAATATGTTCTGATTCTTCTTGAGGGCTTTGGTTTTTGTCTGGCAATAAGTAAATTCCATCTTCAGTTTCCAGCTCAGGATTGAATACTGGGAGCTTCTGCTACAACTTCCATCTGCAGAACTTCTTGTGTGGGCAGCTCCACAAGAAAGTCTTCAAGGCAGACTGCAGCTCAGAAGACATTGATGGCTGTGTTTGCATAATGTAGTGACAGTAGATACAAACACTGAGCATGTTTTGCATTTCATTTTAGAGCATATGAACTATAGGCATCCAGAAGACAGGACAGAAATTCCACAGAGGAAAATCCAGAGTCACTGCTGTTACCTCACCTTTACAACTATGGTAGCTATGAAACATGCCAACACAAAAATTCTGATTAAAAAACCTTTTTTTTTAATAGGGTAGAGGAGGGCATTTAGATTTAATTGCACACAAATATAAAAGAAACCAAGAAACAAGCAGCTTTCTAAAATACAATTGCAAAATGCATGCTGCTGGTTGCACAAAGGACTATCTTCTTTAGTTTAAAAGTGAGAAACAATATATATCATACACTAACACATCTGTGGCTGATACAGAATTAAAAAAAAAAGATAGATGGCACACAGAAACTAAGGAGTCTTTGCTGTGGGTTACTGTCAATGGAAACTCAACTTGACTATCACAAAGAAGAAGCTGTCAGCAAACTCATCACTGCTCATGGCCAGAGGGCTGACTAGCATTGTTCAAACAATGGGTGGGACCAACATGAGAAAGGAAATGGAACCCAAAACGTGCTGTTTGATTCCATCCCATCCATGGTTCCTCCCAGTAACATTGTTCTGCAGCCTAGCCAGAAGCCAAACCCACATAAGCACTGCCTTTAATCACCCAATTCCTATTGATTTCAATGGGAATCACACTCCTAAATGCCTTTGTCAGTCTCAGCTTTACTGGTGCTGCCCTCCAACAGCAGTGAGAAGCTTTTATACTACCCTGTTGCTGCTTCAATGCCTTTCCAGGGAAAAGGAAGAAAAATACATGCATGTCTAAGGCATGATTCATGTCAGTTTTCCAAAGAGATAACCACCCAACCAGCACAAAAAGAGACATCAGGAAGCATATAATTATGTATATGGCTTTCAACATATAGTGTTGAAAGCCATATACATAATGGCTTTCAACACTATATGTTGTCAGCCATATGTTATATGGCTGACATAGTGGCTGGCTACCACTATATCAGCATACATTTTCCAGAAACTGACAGCATAGTCAAATCTTAAGGAAATTCCTAACCACCTCTTACTTTCACACATCTTTGAAAATCAGATTTAAGACTGGGCAATTGTGTTATAATTAATAACTATTTTACATGTAAAATGTTGGGCATAGTTATCTTGAACTGAAACTGTCAAGCAGTTTCATTGCACCAGTTTATAATACCACAAGGAAATGTGAATTTAAGGGGTGACTCTCTTTAGAGTTATGTTCTGTTAGTGTTCTATCCCCCCTTATGAGAGATGACTGAAGAAAAAAGAAAAATAACATATGGCAGCTATTGCCAAAGTAAATACATCTTGTTCTGAAAACCTGCATGCTCCTCAGTTACTTTAAGAGTAAAAAGAGCTTTTAAAAAATCAATTCCATTTATTGCCTCCTGGGTTTTGATTTTTTATTTTTATTTTTTTTTCTGGCAATGAGATGTTGTTGGCATTACAAAGATCTGACATTCATTAAAAAAAAAAAAAAAGCAGCTGTGCTGGAAATCATGAATGTCAAAGACAATTGAGAATGCTAGCACATGCTGAGTCTTACTCTCCAGCATATTAACAGAAATGCATTCCAAACCAGGTTTTATCCTAAGAAGCCCTGACCAGGGGTAGAAATCCTTCTTGCTATGGAAAAAGAGATAAATGCACAAAATGATAGTCATTATTTATATTACTTTTAATGCTTAAAGTCTTAAATGGTTCATGGACACACCACCACAGACATCACTTATTTTTGCATGCCATGTGTCATCACAGGCTGTCAGCAGTGACAGCTGACTGACAGTTTATCTCTTTTTGCATAAATGAGACATTGCTACTGGTCAGACTGTCCTGCTTCCAGTAGGAAAAAAAATCAGGAAAAAAAATATTTCTTTCTAGAACAAGGACTTGAAAAAGTAGGACTTAAAATGTCATCTGGTCCACTGCTCTACTCCAAGGCAGGACTGCTAGGGTTTAAACAGTATTCTGACATTTTTTGACTCCATATCTAGAATAGCCTACCTCTGATTACGAGAAGATAAAACTGAAATCAAACCTCCCCATCCCAGAAGAAGCTTCTATGAAGTTATGGAAAAAAATATGGAGACTGACACTCTAGGAGTTGCACTTTAATTACATGTTCTGATTTCTGGCAGGCTGTTGTAAGCTGAGAGTTGTGCCTTGAAAGTGATGCTTTAAGTTTGAAAATTCCTGAACACATGAATGCCTAGGTCAGCAGTCCTTGCCATTGGCTTACAACGCTTTGCTACACTGTTAGCACATCAGAACAGTAACCAACAATCGTCTAAAAAAACAATACAGATAATTACTACATTAATTTTCTTCATTTGTAAGAAATTTTGTATCAACATACTGATATGACTGGCTTGCAGGTGAGCAAGTAGTCCTTTCTCACCAGTGAATAATAAGAATTAATGCATAAACTATCATGTGATAGAAGTGTTATCTAAGCACCTGAATGTTTTGTGTTCCCTCTGAAGACAATGTGATTTTAAGCCTGTTTTCGTAAGATGTCTTGAATAAACTTATTTCCCTTCTGGAGATATTTATATTTCCTAACTGCAATCTTACCAATTACTTCTATGTAATAAAAGTCTCAGACTGTAAAAAAAAATAAAGCTAAGCACATTTTCAGAGTTGTTCTCCTGTTTAGTCATCACATTTTGGGAACAAAATGTTGGCTCTTGGTTAAAGAGGAAATATCAGAAATACCGTATGCAATGAGGTTCCCAAAATGGTAGCTGGTAGCTGCAGCAAAGTGCTTTCACCGATGCAAAAACAAAAAATGTTAATCCACATGGGCAGATTAAGTACCATTTTTATTAATTGCAGCTAGTATGGACCATAAAATCATATCTGTTATCTTTTTTTATTTTTGTCATTCATATCTGCCTTACCCTTTTTTCATACCTGCCTTTCCCTTTCATTTCCATTCTTTTTTTTGATGCTCATTCTTGTTGTTTTAGTTCTCAGAAATTCTTTCTATCATTCCACTTCAGTTTCAGTTCAGTCCAGAACTCACTGCTTGCATGTTCTCAAACAACAACCATTGTGTTCTTGAAAAGAGCTGAGGAGAAAAAGCAAGAAAACAAAACAAACAAAAAAAACCCCACAAGCTAATTTACAACTATTTCAGTTTCACAAAGAGGGCAATTTGAAATGTTTACACTGCAGGAAGAGGGAGACATTTTAAAGGAAAGTTTAAAATTTTTGTATACTATTTCAAAACAAAGTAAGAATTACTAGATTTACTTTACTCTTGCAAAATAGTTCTCTAGTATTTACAGAGGCCAGTCTGGCCTAGATTACCGTTTGAAAATATTCCTTGTTCATAAAATCAGTATCGCAGCTAATCTGAGTCTACTTACGTGACTCTTGATGAGTCATATAAGTTACTACTTAAGTCATTTTGATGCTCATTTCTGCACAAGATTGCCATTAAAGTCATAGAAATAATGCTGTTAGATAAGCCAATGATCCAGCTGTTTCCAGAAGGACTTGTAAAAAGGAAAATCCTTCAAAGGATGTTGTAAGAAACCCTAATGTGACAAATTCTAGAACTGTCTGCCCATGTGAGAATTTCTTTTTAATTACAGGAAATTAATTATTTTTACATCAAAGGCTCAGACTTTATTTCAGTTATCCCAAGTTTCTACTTCCATATCCATATAGCAAAACATAGCATCAGAGACAGATGTGAGAATGTTGAGAATGTAAAATTTAATTTTGCTTGAACTTTTATAAGACATCCACATTTACCTTACTAAGTGAAAATTGTTCAGAAATACAGATATAGAGATCATTTGAGTAGTATAAAACAGTGCAACATATAGGAAAACCACCATGGGCCAAATCCTGCAGGTTTTCAATTATGAAAATGAAAAATACAGAAAATACAGGACTGATTTATTTTTTAGTAGGAGGTGAGGAGGGGAAAAGAATATTGAAGGCTTTTATGCGTGACAAGACACAAAATCCACAGTATTACTACCTACATCCATTTAATCTCTCTTAGGAGTCTTCTACTCCCTTAAAAATGCATACTGAAAATACTACTCCACATACTACCACAAATATAATTAGCACATACTATCAGATAAATATTTTATCTAACACCAGTAAAGAGTAAGTACAGCATTGTCACCAAATTATAGACAGTCACCAAGAGATACAATAGGAGATGAGAGCAGAAAGTAGATCAGACTTCCCATCTCTGGACTGCGCACACAATCAATAATCAGCTTGGCTAAAATTCTTGGTGGGAAGAATTAACACAACAGATTTATACTAAGGCATACAGCTCACCAAAATGAGGCACAGGAGAAAGAAAACAACCATTTGATCACTTCTGCCTTTTTCGGTCAGAATTCAGCCTCCCATGCTCTGCAATGCCTTTACAGCACCCATTAAATGTCTTGGAAGATCTCCTAAAGGGCAATGGACACCATTAACTCTGATCATCCATCCCAGGAAAGACGTTTCCATAGATTATCCTATCTCATCCTGTATGTTTTTATACAGTGGAATAACTCAGACATAATATTATATTTCAAGAGAATATGTTTCAAGATTTAGAACCTGTGTGAAGGAAAAACACTTGCACATCTTTTACAAGCTCATTCAGGATATTCAGTAAAGCTGTTTGAAACTGAAGAGCAATGGAAGCCTCAAAAAAAGTGAAATGTAAACAAAATGCAAATGAAATACTAGACATCTAAATCAATTAGCATCTTCCTGGCTTTTGGTTTGGGTTTTTTGTTTTTGTGGTTTTGTTGTTATTGTTATTACTGCTGTCTGTCAGATTACAGTCAACTACAATAAAAGGTGAAGCAATCTTTGAGCAGACCAGCCCTTCCACATAGCAGAAGAGTCATAACTGCCCTTCTATGAGGAATGGTTATGCTCACACAACTTCCTTGCTGCCAAGATAACCTTATCACTGTAGAAATAGGCATAAAGGGAAGAAAGGAAGAGCAGAAAGGGAACTGGGAAACAGTGCATTCTTTAAAAGCAAGCATTCAGCTGTGTATCTCTCTGCCCTTAATAAAAATTCATTGCTCCTTCAGCACACCCAGGAAGAGTCACCCATTCCCTGGACAACCCTGTATACCTACTGTCAGGTTGGCTCCACACATTGCCTTACATGTTTCTGAGCACATTCTTTTCTCCACACTCACTCAATCACACCCTCTTCTTCCTCTAGTACTCTTCAGCTTTTACAGCACAAATATATTACTCACAAAGCTGAGTTTCAAGTTATGTCAGATATGGATGTTACCAAGTATGAATGAGGAAGGTTAGTGTGTTAAGAAGTTTCTTCTTGTGGTTGCAGAAAGAAAATGTGGAGTATGCACTAGTTAGCAGCCAATGAAGTAGAGCCATCCAATGGTTCAGAAGAAAAGTCAAACATGAAAGAACATCCAGTTTGAGTTTCTATTATGCCACATTGAACAGATGCTCCAGAGTTCTTATGATGAAATAACATTTTTAAGTCGCTGGATTCATAAAGCATTACTAAAAAAGAAAATATATGAAAGTACAGTTTCTTTATATCATTTTACATTTAAAATTGGGTTTAGTATTTAAAGTTTATTCACTAAGAATAGCAATGAGGTAATACACTGTACATCCAGTTGAAGCTCATCATGTGGAAAATGCTCAACAGCTATAGACATGAAAGATGTCTTAAAATATCTGCCAAGGCAGAAAAATTATGGTCACATCTGTAGAAGTTTACTATCCTTAACATCGGAATGAATTTTACAGTACCTTTAGAAATTAATCTACTGAAGCAGTTTCTCCGAATGAATCAAAATCACTGTAACAGGAAAAACAGTGAAAGAACCAATCTTACCTTAAAATAAACTACCATTTCTGTATAATGCACACCACACAGTATTTAAAAACTGTTGAGAATGGGTAATGTCAGCACCAATTTTAAATTTTTATAATAAATTACTTGTACTACATGTTCATTCTTTGTTATTTGCACTTTATTATATAAGAGGCCTGTACATTGAGTTCAACTGGGGACAAACTGAGTGGCAGACATTAATTCATAGTCAAAAGGGACTGCTCCAGTGTCATTGAACAACAAAAGCATGCCACTGCAGTCAACACAAAACAATTCATATCTAATTATTACTAATTTTCCAAGGTCTAGAATGAAATAGTTTTATGATCTCTAATACTAGGGCAACACTACACATCAAACTCACAACAGTCTTACCCACCATAATACCAATTCCACAACTGGATCAATTCAGGTCCCTTTCACATACATGAAAGGCCCAAAAGACTTTGCAGACCTTTGACAAAGTCCATCTGGCAGCAACTTCGATATAAATACTACATAAAACTGATACAAAGAGGATAACACTTCCCAAGGTAAAAGAAAAGATAAAAGGAAAAATCTTTGAGGTAATCAGAGAAAATCAGAAAAGGAAAGAAAGGTAAAATCTAAAAAGCACATGCTCACCATTTATATTACAGAATTTTAATTCATGTGGTCAGTTTTTATTTATTTTAGTGGACTTTGTTTGCTGCCACTTACAATGCATCTCTAGAAATTATCTGCACTTTTGGTCCTACTATCAGGGGAGAAACATTTGCAAAAACTCCAAGTATTCAATTGCAAAATCTGGTTTCAGCCACATTTCAAGGCAAGTATCTTGAGTCTAATAGATGATTTCAAAAGACATGTCACCACTTTGAATAGCAACAAATTTGCAGTTGCAAATACAACTGATCTTTTAGCATTTCCATAATTAGGATATGACTTGTGAAGTCTATGCCTTCAAATGAATCTAAACTAGATTTGTCCTCAGTCAAATTCTAAATCCTATTTCCAACTTAATTTAAACCACAATATCTTCATTTCCTTTAAAACTCAAATTGACAAGACCTGTAGTAAAGCACTGTCCTTGGTGGAGCATTCTTACAAGCCTCCTGCTAATACTAGCAATCCATGGGATCCTTGGTGTTTGTCTAGGATTAGTGTTCATCATTCAGGCAGAAGGAAAGAGTGACAAACACCAAACCACATAAATCAGGTCTATAACTGTCATTAGGAAAAAAAAAAAGAAAATGTTGTTTGTGACATCTTTTATGCTTCCAGTAATGCATTGCTATTGCCAGAATTCTCTTTCCTATATAAAGATGCCTTATGTAAACTCTTAAAAATAGTAACAGTAAGGTTCAGGAAATAATAGAAAAAATCATAAGAAAATTCACCCTTTTCCATCCTGTGAGAAATGTTAAATCTGGCTACTAAAATTAGAATAAAAGTGTACCCTAAACCCTTATCCCAGAGTTTTTGTTTATATACATGTAATTTATGGAGATACATTGTCTTTTAAGAAATTTGACCTTTTTTTTTCACCTACCCTTTTTCCTCAGTGCAAGTATTAAGTACTCATTCAGAAGAATAATTTTTAATTTAATCAGAAATTTTACTAATTTATTACTACTTTATCCAAGAAAAAGTTATATTAAAATTTATGTTAAATGGAAAAATGAAGGTTTATAAAGTCAAATTTTAATTTAAATATGCATAACACTGCTAAAATGTTGTAAGCCCGCTACACTCCACTTGACCTGTTGAGAATGAGATGAACTCAGCAGCATCCCTGAAAACTCACATGCACAGTCACATAAGTAAGGGAGCATTGACATAAAGCTGAAAACAATATTTTAGGAAATTTTGATAAAGATAGAGCTACAATGTCATAATGTAAGTCAACTAAGATTACATGAACAGTTCTATGTAACACAGAGAGTGAAGTAACTTTACAAAGCTTGCACAAGCATGATGGAAGGATGGAATTTGTTGCATTAGTTATTTAATTTAATAGGACAACAATTGAAGTAATACAGCAAAGGTAGAATATTTTTTAAAAAGCAGACTTCAGGCAAGGCTATAATCTGAAGAGGCATTGTCTATCAATATGAACAACAGGCAGACCAGATATATCCTAAAACAATAACAAACGTTTTCTTCCCGAGAAACACTTATTACCAGAATAGAAAACATTTTTATTCTATGGAAGAATCCAAAACAGCTGGATTTCATTCCAAATCAAGAAAATAGGGAGCTTTATTAAAACAATGGACAAATCAATTCCTACTGTAGCTCATCTTTACAAGTAGTAACAATAGAACAGGTATTAATTTACAGCATACTTACAGTAAATACTACTGCCATCAATATTTTAACAGTTGTTACCTAGACAATAGTAAAATCTGAGCCTCATTGCACTGAAAGATGTGAAGCTGTTAACAGACAGCTCAATGACAAGTTGAATTACAGAATCAAACATCCCCAGTCTTTGATTTGAAATTGTCCCCATTTATTGTTTCTCAGGACAAAGTTCAGTAACCATTTACTCAGCTTCTACTGGAAACAAACAGTAATTATTATAAAGTAGTAACTAAAGCCTGATATGCTAACTTTGGAGAAACTGCAGGAAGAAAACTTGATTTTATTCTGTGCATAAGTGCATTTTTTTTTCTTCTATCTTCCTAAAATTTGGGAAATTGAAATTACTATCAAGAAAAATTCTATAATTGGTGAATGCTTCTCAAGACTACTGACACACAAGTAGTTGACACTTTCATACTTGTATGAGAGGAAAAATATTTACAAAAAGGAACAAGTTTCAATAGTTAGTTATCAAAATCAAAATATGCAATTTAAATAATTTAACTTTAAATAAATATAAACATTTAAATAATTCATGTGGATTGTGCAATAAAGGAAAGCACTCAGTGCACGCGTCAGAGTAGCAACTAGAAATTCCCTACTTGGTTTTTCCTAATTTGGAGCTTACTGGGTCTTAGTGCTCCAACCATCTGACCATTTGGATGATCTTTCTAAAGCACAAATTCTATCCCACAGGTACTGGAAAGTTTTCTGGATACAATCTGTCAAGAGAAATACAATTCTTCAGTAAAACTGAAGTTGAAGCTGGCTAGCTCTAATAACATATTCATGTTTGACTCCATCCCCCATACCAATACCATTTTGTCGTGGCCATACACAGAAAACATGTTCCACCTGCTCAGAAGCTGAGCAACAGAACCCAAAGCATATGGAAATCACTAGGCTAAAATCCAGAGCCACCAGAGTGACTTCCTACTGCTACCAACATGTACATTTATATGCAAATCTTCCATTTGCCCACAGACTGTCCTTGCATGATTTTCTGTGCACAAAAACAAACCAGGCACACATCTGTGCCTTTGACCTCAGCAGAGCCCTCAGGCACAGCTTAAATGCTACCTTCTGCTGGCCTCTTAACACCAGGAGGTTCAACTCTTAAATTGCAAACAGCTCTGCTGCATATATTTAGCAATAGTAGCCAAACCACAGTCTGAAACAAAAGCACTGAAATATAAGTGATAACACCAGGCCCCAGTGCAATTTGGTTCCAAAGCCAGTAACACATTTAGTCATCAACATTCCCGTAGAAAAAGAGCAATGAGCAGCTTGCCCGTCTGGATGATTTCAAGAAGCCCATAATCAATCTTAAGAGTCTTGTAATGGGTCATAAAATGACTAACTATGATTAAAATTTGTGGGTTACCTATTATAAATCTGCTCCACCCATACTGTTGTACGTATCTATCAGCATTTTGGAGTATTTTTTTAACCTAAATGATTCTATGATTTTATTATCTGCTCTTTTTTTAAAGGGAGCTTGCAACACAAAACACTAAGCCTGACTAAATGTATAAGGGTCAACAACCCTTAGAATTAAGTCTAAACCCTTTTGGATTTAAATCTTCAGATGAAAACATGGAGAGGAGCACTCAGGGTTTTTTACTGCCCTCTCTGCCACCACACCTTTGCAGTAATCACTTTTTCCATTTACCTTTGAAATTCTACCAGATATAAGAGCAAAATTTAATAAGTGTTTACTGCTCATGTGGAATTACTTTTAGAAATTATCTCAAGTATTTCTTCAACTCACAGGTACACAAAATAACTTCCACTGCTATTTAGCACGTTTCCTCATAAAACACACCTTGGTCAAGCCCCCAGTGTTTCTGCCACAAATTACATTTTTCTACAGTCAAAAAAGCTGTGCATTGTCATTCAAACTCTTCTGCTAGATTTATGTAAAGTCATATCAGAAATAGACAGGGTCAAATAGTCAGTAACCTGGCTACACAAACATAACAAAATAAACATAACAAATAACCTGTTCTATGAGATTTGAGTGCCAAGTCTAGCCAAGAAGACTTTTGTTAGATTAGGAAAGAAGATTGCGTAAATGACATTCTATTCTTCCATTTTTGATGCTCTGATAATAATACAGCAACCCTTTTATTATTAACCTGGCTTGTAGTAAGTAGGTTCTGCCAGAAAGAGCTGCATGGTTTTGATGTAAGGCCACTATAAACTCTTTCCCTCAGTCCATGGCTGGAAAACACATTGCACAGATTTAGCCAAACAGAACATGCGTCCATCTCTTGGCAACTCAGCTCATGGTCCAATTTCCTCTGTACATTAAACCAGGACACTGGAGCAGATGGTATTTATTACAGGCTTGCTGCTGCTCTGGGATAGATAATATCTTAACCACAGGTAGACCTCCAAAACTATCTGGGTATTTTCAGAGTTTTGAATAAGTGAAGTCCTATCTTTCCAATAAGCCAAACTCCTCAAAACCTAGACAAATTTTACCCTTTTCTATCCAAGAAACTGAATGAGGATCAACAAAAAACCCCATACTATCACAATCTTCATAGAGCCACACTTCTCATTTTCTTTGCACTTAAATCAGGATATCATTGCAATCACTTAGAAGGCATAACTTTATCACTGAACAAGTCTGTAAGTAAGTCATATAGTCTCTCCAAACTACACCCACTTGCACTATAAGTAGTCTACTACCAGAATTAAATCAAAACTTGAATTTTAAAAGTGTTATGGCAATGAGTTCATAACTAAGGAGGAGAAAATAATAAGGACCCTATTGTGAAATGCATTTTTCATGGGAGGAACATTTATGACTTTAAAACTAAACAACAGGAGATACAATTAACAAAGCTTTATGGTCTTAGGAGCTTAACCCCAAATCTAAAATTACATAATTTCACAAAAAATCTGAAATGCCTAACAGTGATCTTAATTTCTACCTATTTATTTCATGGAATTTGGACAAATCCTTTAGATTTTGTATTGTCTCTATGAGGAAAATAAAATAATTTTGTATTACTTCAAAAAAATCTTCAGGTACTTTGAATGAAGTTGAGTATTGTCAAAACAACCGTATTACAGAAGCCCAATAATATATGCTAAACAGTTACATAAAATAGTACTTTTTCTATTTTACTAAAAGCTCAATTTTAAGCAAAACCAAATCAATCAGAATTCACTGAACACAAGAAAAAAAAAAGCACAAAAAATAGGCAGTTCTCTAAATATCTAAAAAATAAACATGCTCAGATGTCTACATTCGAATGAACATAATTGCATTTAATTGATTCCCTCTTTCAATTAAATGGTGACTATTATACATCCCCATTCATAAGCATTTGATATTAATCCCTATCTTTACTGGCAGGGTCACTTTTACCAGACATCAAAGCAGAGCAAACTATACTTTTTGATAAAAGTCAAGATTATAAAGCTGGACTCGCAGACAATAACAATGTAATTGCATACAGTTCATACCTGTTGTTCAGCAGCAACAAACCAAAGAAAAAAAAATGGTTGGCACCTGTAGCAGTGGTCTAGATTTAGCTGAAAATTAGGGAGTCCTGTGGGTGGAGAATGCAACTCCTGTTATAATGAGCATGTATGTGTACTCTCCTCAAAGTGCAGCTGAAACAGCCAGGTGACAATCTGGCTCTAAGGGAAAAGATAATGTGAGACTTACTTCACAAAAGCTTCTTTATGCAGCAGCATGATTTAGAAATATGTAAGTGCTCCATTTTTCAAAGTTCTTCCTGTTCAGTGTTTACCAGAAGAGAGTGCATGTATGAATTGGCAAGCCTTTTGCATATTTTTTGGCACTTAAAATTATTTTAAGACTAATGCTGGCATTTTCATAACTGCTAAATCATTAAAAGGATAATATTTTAAGTCTGCAGGGAAGCTAGCTTGGCCCAGTTCTCACTTGCTCGCTTACCTAAAGTAATTTTTTTCCTGCCAAATATATAAAATCCCAGAAGAATCACTACTCCCTCCTATTGTATATTGGTGGAGTAAATCAACTTAAATAAGAACTAACCCAATGAATCCTTACATTTTCCGTAAACCAGATGTTCTTGTATTGAAACACGTTCAAGACTTTTTTTTTCGTTTGGGGGAAGCTGCTCACCAGTGTGGCAGTCAGGCTAACCTTTCCAGCCTCAGCACTGCAGTTATTGCAGCTTCTGCTGAAATGATGACAAGGCTGCAGCTCCAGGCAGCCCTTCACCCGGCCTCAGAGCAGCTGGATGAGGACCCACCGTTCCAAATGCCCAGGCTATGCAGCACTAGAGGGATGCATTCCTAAGACACTGTTTGCTCCTGAACTGTGGCGGTTTTGTGCTTGTTTAGCTGTTGAATGACAAAAAAAATGTTATAAATGTGGCAGAGCAAATGATCACCTAGAATAATAACTAAAGACACTGGTTTCCCTAACATAAAGTCATTAATTGGATGTGCTATTTGAAGAGGTGACAAAAAATCTGAGGTATCTGTTCCTCTCCAGAGCAAATATTAAGCAGAGCACTAAAAGTACCTCCAAAGCAAATATTTCTTTTTTATTAACCATAATAAACTAAGAGTGGCAAAGAAAGTCACATAAAACTTGCCAGAACATAGTTATTGAACATTGCAGTTTCTAATCTCAGCAATAAATGTAGGTCAAGGGAACTGGAAAATCTAATTACTCTGTAAATTTTTAAACCTGTTTCTTTCCTCTCAAGGAAAAGAAAATTGTTCCTTTGCATTTAAGCAGACTTCACTTCAAAGTGTAACTACAGCTAGGTGATGAATAATTTTTGCCTGAATGTAGAGGTTTTTGAACCTCCTTCTTTGCACCTTGGGTTGTATACTCAGGTCTGGTTCACACTTGTCCTCAAGGTATCACCACTTACTTCACAATTACTAGAGGTAAACCACAAAATCCAGAGACACTCATCAGAAAAAAAGCAGAAAAAACCCCCCATATTTGATTAAAATACATCTTTGGTACCACACTGCAGCAGTTCCTTTCAGCAATATATCCCATTTGATACCCACTATTCATACACTGCCTTAAGAAAATACAAAGCAATGCATTGTTACAAATCTATTATGAATATAAGTATCTGGTAGCATTGTAAATATCAATTATTCACTTATTATATGACTTTTTCACACAGTTGATGCTGATTTCAGTGTATACACAGGCTATATTACTTGGATTTACAAGAAAAAAGGAAGAATTGAAAAAAACACAAAAACTTTGAAGATTCAAGCCTCCTGATGACTAAAAACCAAGGATTGTTTAAGGATCACATTTCCAAAAAAAAAAAAAAGGTCATTTCAGGCACTTAAGATGAATTCACAGCACAATGAATTTCAGCTTTTCTCTCTCAAAACAAAAAATAAAACCAAAATAAAACAAACAGAAAGATTAGAAGCTGTAACTACAGCCAGCCACTGATGGGCCCGTCTCACAGAGCTCTGCCTTCCAGCCCTTACCTCTGCAATACGTGACAAGGAAACCAGGAGTTTCACAAGAGACAGATTTGTGTGTTGTGTTCTGATTTGGCAGCCAAATGTTTTGTTTGTTTTTGGGGGCTGGGAGGGGTGAGCTGTACAGACATGGAAAATCTGGCCTAAGGTCATCTGATCTTTGGACAGTGCTCTCATTAAGTATAAATCCTATTTTTGAACCTCCTCCAAATCCATGAGAGGTGAAGTCTCCCAAACAAACAAAACAAAAAACAACAACAAAAAAAGTTGATTTGGAAAGATCCTTGTGGAAGACTAAAAATGGGTTTGTATTGAAAGGTAAACCCTGAAACACTAGCTCAAGGAACCACCCAAACCAAAATGAGTTCTACCCTGGTCTGTTTTAAAAAGCAAAAGATTGACAAGATTTTTTTTTGCTTTATGCACTTGATGAATGACATCTACCTGGTTTATAGAGATGTAAGGTGAGTCTTTTAAACTACACAAGAATTCAGCAGACTACACCACACTCCTTGCCCTGTATCATGGACAAATTTATGAATACAAGCATCAAAAGCATTCCTCAGTATTCTGAAAACCTTCCAAAATTACAATATTAACTTGGTAACCTTTGAACTAAAAATGTCAGACACTAATTAGGTATTGGTCCTTTCCTCATTATTAAAAAAAAAAAAAAAAAACTTACAAAGAATTTATCTTGACTGGAGATCCATTAAATCATTAAATTGCTAAAATAATATGTAGCCTGAGGCCTGACTGGTAACAAGCAGCAATAAATGAGACCTGGATCTGCACTGAATGAGCAGAAAAGGAAGAAAACTTATCTGCCAGTCCATTTGCTAAGCGGCAAAAGTGGCAAATTGGCAGAGGCCTTCTTAAACATATATGTTTATACAAGTAACTAATGTGGAAAAGCAAATTAAATATGGAGTTTCTTAATCTCTTGGTGTTTGACTTTACAGCTTATTATAACTTTGGCAGAATTGTATAACTCATTACAATTGTGCTTTCTTTCCTTCAGCTTTCATGGTTCTGAAGTGTGATGTCACACTGATTCATTGCACTTCATATTCTGGAGAAGGTCCAAATTTCACTAAGAACCAGAGCAACCAGTGATGACAATACAATCTTCTTTCAATACATGCCATAAACAGCATACAAAAAGTCTGACTTGTTACAGATCAACAAAACTGTTAAAAAAATAATACTAGGATGAAAAAAATAGGTGTTCTGTAACACCAAGAACCAAGCAGAATAGAAGTTTTAAGCACATTGCTCCACCCTAGAAGCATAAGAGAGCCTGCTGAACAGCAAAAAGGTTCAGTTGAAGGAAAAAGTTTATGGAACACTTGAGATGGGAAATTTTTACAATCACACCACTAAAATAAGGACACACAACCTTCTGTCTGCTAACACAGCTGAGTAATCTTTCATGCGCAACCACTGAAGGCATTGATGACTTCTTGCAGTCGACAGCAATCCAAGACATTGAAAGGAGTAGCGTTTTCTTGTTTTGATTTTGGATGGGTTTTGTGAGTTGGTTGGGGGATTTTTATGACAACAGTCTGACGATAATAAAAGTATGGAGCTAGTAGACTTCGTCCTAGCCTACTGGCACCATTGGGGAGGCCTTTTGTCCATCCTGAGCTCGCAAATAATATAATATAAACGAAACCAAACCAGCCTGAGCTGCCCGCACCCCAGCCTGCTTAGAGCATGTTTTCCAAAAACAAGTTATTTCCAAAAGCGGTTAACTTACAGTGCCAAAGCTACACTCTTGTTACGGCACCCGAGCCATGTGCATACCCCATGCACGCTCAGGGAACGCCGCCCCGCCTCGCTCACCTAC